ATAATTTCTGATTGGTTGATATATCCAAAGTATTGTACAAATCCAAAAGCTTGAGAGCTTTCTCAAATTTTGTTTTCACAAACAGGAGGCAATGTTCTGCAACCATGATGGCTCCAAATTGTTGAGCCTTGGTCCATTGCTGAAAAACGTTTCCATCCACAAGCGTTCCTATAATAAATTCTTGACATTGCTGCAATAGAGCAATGAGCTGATAAAATTTAGCTGCCTGAAACAATTCCCAAATTTTGTCTGACCTCAAAACTGTACAATCCGTGTACACAAACTCTAAAATACTGTAGAAAATATCTGCAGAAGCATCTTGAATCTCAATTTCAAGAACAGCAGTATTATTACATTTAGTTAGTATCAGTTGATTGAAATAGTTGCTTCTTGCACAAAGAATTAACTTGTGCGCAAGAATTTGTTGCCTTGAATGATAAAGGTAACATCACTCAAGGTAGGGTTGTTGAAGAATTGTTTTATACTTGATCCCATTGTGTTTCCTTTGCTAATAAATGTTTGGATATTTGATTCTGCAGTTGTGGATGAAGAGTTTACTTGCTGATGCTTGATTGAAGTTGCAGAAGAAAGACATGATGAAGAATCGGAACTCGGACTTTGATGAACGGAAGTAATAGGATGGAAGTAAGTGGCTGATGATGGAGGCGACAACACAAATGCTGACTGATTCAACATTTGAGGGCTCTGGAATGGACGGAGAGTTTGATCGGCCGAACCATTTGAGGATGCAGTAAACGGTAGTCGTTGTTGTTGTGGGGAGACAGAATAGAGGAGTTTGATAATGATGATGTGTTATTGTTTTGATCTGATGTTGTTGTTGGCATATTGACATTGTTACTATACAACTGGTTGTTGTTATTGATGTTGCTACTAGCCTGTTGTTGCTGCTGTTGTGGGGATGCTGAATTTACCAAATTCAAAATACTACCGACAAGGTTCAAAGCTTGTTGGTTGATGTTGTTGTTGAAATTGGTGTTGTTATTGATCATGGATTGTCCTTGTAATAAATTGTTAAGTAATTGTTGATTTCCTGTACCAGGGAGTGATGATTGTGCTGCCATCAGATAATTCATCTGGTGCAATAAGGGATTATTACTGTTATTTCCGCTTTGATTCATCAGCGTTTGCAGGCTGTTCCATAGGCTATTGTTTGTATTGCCATTAGTGTTCGTATGTGCAGTATTGTTTGTTGTGTTGTTTGTTGGTGATGATGATGAAAGCAAAGACAGGTTTTGTTGTTGATTGGTGGGCAGCATTCTTTTAGGGTTCAGTTTGTGCTGTTGTTGTGCTCTTTTCAACCGGGAGCTCACGAGCAAAAACAGAGGAGCAAAATTGAATTCACTATCGAGCTCGAGAGAGTGCCAGCAAAAGGTTTCGTTCGGAGAGAGTGCAAAGTGAATGGCCTACTTCGGTCGGCGATTTTGGTGGCGATGATTTTTTTGTTTGGATGGAAATTATCAACCAAAACATTCTCGGTTCTCCAAATCAAGATAATTATTGATTTTCATCATTATCATAATAAAGGTTGGATCGAATCAGTACTTGTCTGCATAATACTCTCTTCCAACATTCAACAAACTGAATATCTTCCCTGTTCTAACATTATTGAGATCATCAGTTTTAAAAAATGAAAAATCTCTGGCTTGTCTTGCTGATTGTTCTTGTCGAGGCTTCTCTTCTTGTTTACGGAGAGGAACAACAACAACTCTCCTTCCACCAAAAGCACCCTTGCTACGTGAGAAAGGAAAGTGCTATTCGTAATAACATCAAGACTGCACAACCTCACACCTATTTGAAACCAGAAGATCTTCCTGCTTCTTGGGATTGGAGAAATATTGCTGGAGTGAATTATTTGTCTGTCGGAAGAAATCAACATATTCCAATTTATTGTGGTAGCTGTTGGGGTAAGTTTTGGTAGTTGTTTTAGACATGAATATTGAATTGATGATGTTCAATGTTGTGAATGATATATCAATAATTGTTGCGATTGCTGAACTATTTCATGATGATGTGATGGCGGACTTATTGTGAAAAAATCTTTCTCGCTCGAATATATTACTTGTTGCTGTCCCACCACAGCTCACGGCTCTACAAGTGCTCTTGCTGATAGAATCAACATTGCCAGAAAGAATCAATTCCCTCGTGCCTTGTTGTCAGTACAGCACGTTATTGCTTGTGGTGATGCTGGGTAAGTGTATACTTGACGGTTCATTTGTTGAAATATAATCTTAATAATTTTAATAGATCTTGTGGTATGTAAACGACTAATTTTTGACAAGCGAACGTCACATCAACATGCTATCAATAATAATCAATCTTATTTGAACCCGGTAAATCATTAGAGGGTGGTGATGATATTCGTATGTAGTTTTACTTTTTCAAGGTTGATTTTTTCACATTGATGCTTGTTCTTCCTTCTCTGGTCATTGTCATGGACATATTGAACTTTTAAACAGCCGTTTATCAATATGCTCACGATCACGGCATTCCTGACGAGTCATGCAATAACTACAAGGCTGTTGATCAGGATTGTTCTGCATTCGCCGAATGTGGTACTTGCAATTCAACCGGATGTTTCGCAATCAGAAATTACAACAGATGGAGAGTGAGCGAATATGGTAGCATTGACGGAGAACATGAAATGATGAGTGAAATCTATGCTAGAGGTCCAATCTCATGCGGTATCGATGCTACTAGCGCCTTGGAAGCCTATAAGGGTGGTATCTTTGAAGAGTTCAAAGTATTCCCAATGATTAATCACATCATTTCTGTTTGTGGGATGGGGTGTCGCAGGGGAAGGCCGGAAAGAAATACTGGATTGTTAGAAACTCATGGGGAACAGGTATGCAATTCGTTATTCTTTATGTTATCATTTTTAATAATGTTTTAACCTTTCAAATTATCCAAACTGTAAATGTTTTCAAAATGCACAATGATGGTCACTACCTTTCAACGTTGACAGAATGGGGTGAAGGTATGCAAATCATTATGATTGTTGTTATTTGGATTTTACCTTTTTTCGTATTTTTATTTTTTGTAAATGTTTACCTAAATGGCGAAATTTCACTACCTTTCAATGCCGGTGTTGGAATCATGATTTACAATAACAAAAACTACAACAGGTGGGTTCTTCCGTATTGTAAGAGGAACATCCAGATTCTACAACTTGGCCATTGAAACTCAATGTGCCTTTGCTGTTCCAATTGTTTAAATAAAAGCAATGCATCACACTTATTTATTGACAAGAGAGAGTGAACAATCTTGTATTATTGTAATGATCTCTCCTTTCTGCTTATCAATGCCCATCATTGCATTATTATTGCTATAATCAAGAACGATGACCATTTTGTAACGTGTTGCGACTCTCCTCAAGTGTACGCATTATTTCGTCTTTAACATCTCCTCCTTTTACAAATCTCAAGATGGAGTATATCCATTATTTCGAGCCTTAAACAAATTGGTGATGAGAGATGGATAACCCATGGTGTCGTTTTGTACGAAAATGGAGCTCATACTTGTCATTGGTTCACGCGTGCCAAATTCTTGGTTTGTCCATTTCGCACATCCATGAAGGTATTAACTGCAAAAGACATCATCATCATGACCGAACAACATCAAAAAACATCACGACAATCTCAATACTATGACCTCACAACTCAAACCACCCTCTAATGAAGATCTTGTAGACACGGACACTCTCTCAGGAACACCCACCAACGCACAGCTACAACCACACTTGGCCATTCCCAAATCGGTCGCCAATGAAAGTTTGGCACTCACTGGAACAAGCAATGCATCATCTGATTCGATTGGATCCAGTGGTGGAAGATTTCAAAGCAAATGAAAGACAAGATATTTTCCTTTCTTGTTGCTGTCAATTCAAAGCAAGCGAGTGTCACTTCATGGCAAACGGCTCTCTTGTCCATGTTTCGAAATGCCTTTGTATTGTATGTGAGTATGGTTCTGTCATCAATTCCATCCACTCTGAATGAAGAGGAGAATGCAACATTAGCTCAACCACCACTCTGGGGAATCATTCCTTCATGGATTCATCGAGTCATGTTCTATCCCATTACGTTGGGTGCGGAACATTATTCGTATATGACCATTATTGTCTTGTCATCAGTATTTCTAGCGTTGGAATTATTCACTCTCTTCATGTATGCTGTTTTCTATCTGTTACACAGTAGGGGAAACAAGTATTGTGACAAGATCAAAAGAATCCTTATTCAACCACTCTCTCTATTCATGCTCGTGTTTACCACTTGGATGGTGTGGATTCATTGTGTGCCCATGTCATCAAGTTCCTCCTCTTCATCCTCTCATACCATTTCGAATGAATACTTTCCTCCATCACTATGAATTCTACTCTCAATACTGCATTCATTGTGATTGGATGTGTGGGTGTAATTCTTAACATGATCTTGGTGAGTTTGGGAGTTTTAGTGATGGAGGAGACAGTTCCTCCCACACGCACTTCTCTCTCACTCTTTGGAATGTTTTCCCCAATGTTGGAGTGTGTATTCATCTTTTGAATCAAACATGTGTGGTGTTAAATGTTCTATTACATGTGAATCAGGCGATTTCAGCAAGTGCTGTGAAGTGTTTCTTGAGTTTCTTGGTTGCCGTGTACTTTCTGTATGGTTTACCTTATTACAAGACTTTTATCAATTCGTTGGTGTTTGGATGTTTGTGTGGTAAAACGTTGGGATGCCTTGGACCGATCATGGCCTCTGCTTTGATGAGAAATATCATTCAGCAACAAGAGCAACAACAAGAATACATTTCTCAGTTGGGAGGAATCATCACAGGAGTCACAATCGCTCTGCAAGCTTTGGGATTTGTTTTGGGAACTTTGAGTTGTGAATTGTATTTGAGATTTGGAGTGTTAAATGCGGTCAAAAGATTTATGACTCATCATCTCACAGACAAACACTCTGCCATTCAAATTTACAACACCTTTCAAGAAAACAAATCCATGAGAAAGCTCATTCTCTTTTAAGACTTTCCATCAGTGATGCTTTTTCATCCAAGCAAGACAATGCTCTGGAATGGGCTTTACAATTTCTGAAATTATGTGGCACCTCCAAATCGATCACAAATGTGGATTTTCTTCTCATTAGTGCTATTATAACAAGTTTTTACTCAACACAAGAAGAATTGTACTCGTCTCATTCATTGGCTCTCTCCATGCTTTTCCACGCAAAAAGAATAATCCATCTCTTGTGCAATCCTATTTTATTGTATTGAGAAGTAAGGAAATTGAGGCAAATGTGGAAAAATTTTCAATGATCAATGTCGATTTGAAACAAACCCTTCAATCTCTACAAAAGAAGCAACAGGCCATGACTTATTTTCACAAAGAATTATTTAAGGAATTGATTTCAGAGAATTGTTCCAAGAAAAAATTGAAAATTTGAACCGATCTTCCACCATTCTTGTTCAAGAATGTGACACTCTGTACAAATCTCTCATGCTGAAATATCGAAACGATACTTCCTTATTGAGATCAACTTTGATTCCTATCAAACAACAAGATGAGACAGTACTCCCACTCTATGAGAATGCGACCACGTCTATCAGTGCCTTTGTGGATCATATTCTCAATCAGGGAGATGACATTGCTCATGTCATGAGCAATGAAGATTTTGTGACATTTAACAAAACGAGAGCCAATTATCCACTTCTTTTCTTGTAAGTAGTATTTGAAATAATTATTGGGGATGTATGAAATACCTATTTCTTAAACTATCAAATGTTAATGATATACTTAATTCTAATCTTTTGCTTGGACACAACAGTTACCTTAATAGAAGAGAAATGACAACAGCATTTGATTTCTTTTGTACTTCTTATATAGCAAGTTCTAAGAGTGACATTAATCGTATTGGGGAAATCTTATTTGGAGTGTGTGGCTCACTATTAGGTCTCTATTTTATATTTTGTTTATTTTTCATTGTCATAATGCGCAATCACTTGTTACAATTTAACCAACTTGTAAAATTCACCACTCTTCCCAAAGATGAAACAGGAAAATTCTATCACCAATTGGAAAAAGAAATGACTGATCCTTTCAGAGAAAATTCTTCTCGTGTTACACCTTCCATTGTTTTCACACTTCTCACCATCATGACCATGTTATTCGTCTTTGCATCAAGCATTTGCCTTCTCATGGAATTCTATTCCAATGACATCAAAACATCATCCACCATGAATACTGTTAATTTGCTCAATACAGTCATGAGAACTTCCATGAGAGTCACTTTTCGATTATTGGAAATGGTTCGAAAAAGTAATCTCATGCTCCTCCCATGGAATGTGGTTCGAGACGACAATGCCGAGGAACTTATAAATTGCATATTGTGTTGGAAAGAAATTGTAGTAGGAGGAAATGAAACGAATTACAAATCACCGGTGAAAGGTCTGAGTTCAGAAATTGATTCGCTGTTGGTGGGAAATTCTTTGACCATTTGTCAAAAATTGTTGAACACTACTACCACCAATACCACGACTACTCTGAATGATTCAGTCAACAACAACAACATTTCACTCAATGATACTCTCACTCTTACTCACATCAAGTATGATTGTTTGGGAATGGACAAATTAGTGACCTCATTCATTGATACCTCCACAGAATATAATCATTACTTTTACAATGGATTTTATGATCAACAGACAGCTCTTCGTTTCTTCGTTTATATTTTAATGACATTTACTTTTGGCTGTTTCACTCTCTGAGAAACTTTTTAAATTTATTTCTACCTATGTGAAAAGCGAACAACATCCACAACTGATCATGAGTATGTGCATTTTTGTGTCTTTTTGATCGTTGGTACTGTGTGTATGATTTGGAGTTATTCCTCTCTTTCTGCGTATTGGAATGAAGAACATCATCTGAGGAGAATGTTAAATTACCTTCATTGGGAAATTATTGACCAAAACGATCAGTTGAAACAGTTTGTGTTGAATCACAAAATTCCAAATCTATTTATTGAGCCATCCAGAAAATTCACCACAACGATTACAGAAAATTATTTCAGAAATGTCAGCTGCCAAAAATGCATTTTCTGAACTTTTTG